AACATCCCACTGAAAATTATTAAATTTCAATTATTAAAATATCAAATTAAATATTGAGGTCACTTTTAGAAGGAAAATTAATTAGTAATAGAGGATTCAGAATATGTCAACACACATATTATTTCAAAGACGATGAAATTGATTTCATATAGGAAGACATTGTATGAAAATGAGAGAAATTGATAAATCTGTACTATAAGCATATATGTGTATAATATGGTATATACAAGGCATTATGTTAGATTTTCACCAACTCAAAGTAACTAAACTAGAGTAGTCTCATCATTTATGACTTTACATAGCTCTGAGCTAGCTTTAGCCATGCATGGCATTTTTCATGAGGTTTGAGAGATAGAAATGGAACAGTGTTTGTGCTGTTCTTAAAAAGAGCTGGTAAAGGACATGAGCCACTTACAGAGTAGGTTATTACCACTCACCTGGTTTATCTGATGAGACTATCAGCTTTTTCATGTACAGCAGATTTTCTTATCTGGATGTTCTATTTCTGTGCAACATTCATAGTTAGCTTGTGGGTGACTTTAGTGTTAGCTTCTCTTTCAGCATGCACTGATAATCAAAGTTGAACTCTGGGAAAGATTAAAAGAATATTACTATTCAGTGCCATCTCTTGGCTCCCAGCTGGTTCTTACAGCTTGTTTAGGTTTTCTTCATGTAAAGCTTGCTTTCATTCACATCTTTCTCACTCTATAATCGTCTAGCTCTAGATGGGCACAGAAACATTAGTCTCACATAGAGTATTTGCCCAAGGCCTAAGTGGTTCTGCTTGTGTGGCCAGTTTCAGAAAAAGACAGATATGAGCACCTTGGCTTTTGTTTTGATTTGCCTTTGCATATGTGTATAAGTTAGTGATCATTCTCTAAAGAAAGACAAGTATTATTTTAACAAGCTACACAGGATACCACAGTGTAGGCAGAGTTTTCCTGCTTAACCCTTTTCTATTAATCTATGTGCTGCCCTGAGGCTCATGGCTTTTATGTCTATGCCATTTGGTGTGTCTGATATGTTCTCCATCTGTCTGGCAACACTTCTGTCTCCACCAATCATCCTATCATTCTCAGTAAGGCTTTTCTGCCTAAACTTACTCTGTTCAGCTACTGGACACTCATCTTTTTTATGTTTATTAAATCAATCATAGTGACATATATTCATAGAATATACAGAAGGATTATTCCACAGTATTTCTCCATTTTTGTCTAATTAAAAAAGAATGTTTTAACTTTAGCATAGTATAATTATATACAACAAAAATGGTTATCATTTAAGAATTACAGTTACAATATTTGGTCTATTTGTATTTGGCAACTATTTATACTCTTTATCTTGTCTTGGTGAGTGTGAAGTTTTATATCTAATTTATTTCCTAACATAATTAAGGAAAACTATTAGTTTAAATATTTAGTCTTTCACTCCATCAAAGAACCCAGAAGGATGAAATGTTGCCTAATGAAGGGACATCAGGCTGCCTGTATATTCACTCAAAGTTCTTCTGTAATGTTGGAGTATCCTACTCTGTCCTACAGGCCTAGCATAACTGACAGAACCCCCTAAAAGGCTTTATATGGATGCCATGGCCTTGGATATTGGGTACCATTTGTAGGCAGACTTTTACTGTTTGAACCATCTTCACCCAAATAATCCCTAGGTGGCTTAATATACATTGTAAAAAGCTCAGTCAATGGCTCAGGCTTAGTATTAGCTAGTTCTTACAACTTAATCCATTTCTATTAATCCATGTGTTCCCAAGGCTTTTTACCTCTATCCCACTTTCTGTGTAGGACAAATTCTGGTTCCAACCTTTCACATCCCATCATTTTCAGTTTGGCTTTTTTGCCTAACATTATCCTGCTAAGCTATTGGCCAGTCAGCTCATTTATTAAACAAATCACAGTGATGTTTATTCACAATGTACAAAAGGATTACTCCATAGCACCACAGTACACTCTCACAGTTTGTAAATTGTTATTTAATCATTTAAGTATCACACATTTTTTCATGTTCTGTGATATAAGCACTAAACTTCTGCAAACTCCTGTATTTTCTTGGACAACCAGAACCTAGGTAGGTTTTTCTAGATTGATCAAAGTAGAAATTAGAAAGCTTAAGGATAGGAGAGCCACTTATTTGTCTGTGCTGTTTTTAATGTTGCTTTTATGTATGTACTGGACTAGCAATATTGCTCTACTCTAAAAGCAGTGGTTAGTTTCACATCCTGGCTTATTGCCAGTCCAAGAATCAGCCTCATCACACCCTCTAGAATAACTCTGGAAAACTGAGAAATGGAAATGTAGAAGACTCTATCCTTAGGACCCAACAGCCAAAAAATACATTTCCTCATGAATCTGACATAGGTCTTATGATCTTGAAACACTTAACATTTTGATAACCCTGACTACTTATTTTTATTTACTCCAGAATTAAGGTTTGTAGATACCTTCCTTAAGTACTTTAGTTCTTTTTCAGTATCTCTGTTGTTTATTTTATTTTCCCCATCACAAAGCCAGGTTGAATATTCTCTAAATTAAGTTCATCTATTTAAGTACATTATTTGCTCTGCTTAGACTTCAATTGATAAACACACAGAAACAGAAATGTGTTGGAGGATATTCTAGTAGTAGGAAGGAAGTTTTCCAGAAAACCTTTCTGGGATTAAAGTACATGAACCAGAAGATTTGATGATTTGATGAGGTTCCAAGTATAAGCAAAAATGATAGAGATAGCTATTTTTCCTTTGCTTTTTCATGTTCTAGTGTTGTTGACTAATTTTCATTATTATGAGAGTCAATCAAGGACTTGTCAACTCAAATCACACTAAGAATAGAGAATGCATACAGTCCTAGAAAGCTAGATTAGCATGGGCAAAAACTTGCAGAGAGACATACATCAAGCATTATGTGGTCTCTTTGGTTAAAATAGCATGTAATAGAAAATTCTGAAGAATCCTTGTAGGTTATGAAAACTTGTGCTTTTGTGTTAGAAGGAGAATTATCAAAGTGGTTAGGTGTTTTCATTCCTGTACAATAATTCTAGAGGTAATTTTGGGGTATCAGAAAAGAGATACAGGCAGAAGGCATAGTGACATGTGGCTTTAAAGCCAGCACTCAAGAAGCAGAGGCAGATTGATCTCTGAAGTTAAAATTTCCTTTGGGCTGCCAGATCACAAATAATGACATGAAGACTTCCTATTAATTATGCAAGCTTGGCCTATAGCTCAGACTTGTCTCAACTAGCTCTTATATCTTAATTTCCCCATTTATATTAATCTAGGTTCTGCCCTATGGCTCGTGGCTGTCATCTTTCCTCCTGCACATCCTGCTTTCTTTTCATCTCTGATATCTTTGACTTTCTTCTTCTCAGAGTCCTCTTTGTCACTGGCAGTTCTGCCTAATCTCTTCCTGCCTACCTACTGACCATTCATCCCTTTATTAAACCAAACAGAAGGCACCTTGCCAAAGATACATCTTCACATTTGTAAACAGTATTCTGTCTCAGATCTCAGTGAGATGGATGCCAGCATGGTGTACAGACTGAGTTCCAGGACAGCCAGAAACCAGAGCAGCAATCGGAATCTTGGCTAAGTGATGGTAATATGGTGTATTATTTCTGCTGAAAAATAAGCCAGATGTGACCTAAGTGGTAAGCAGGAACAGGGAGAGAGGAGATGTCGAAATACAATGGGCAGATTGGGTCATTAGTTTGACATATAGGGTACAAGAGAATCAAGTTACAATTTTTGGGATTTATCTTATAAGAGGGAATATGGAGATAGAATGGTTGATCTAGAAATGGGAAATTCACTGAGCCCAGATTCTTCAGCTCACTTCACAACTCAGTAAATGTAGCTATCTGTATTGAACATCTCTGTTTAGCTAGAACACATGCCTATATTGCTTACTCTGTACCATGCTATTACATTAACTAATATACAAGTTGTGCTTTTGATGGGAAGATTAGGAACAATGAATAAAAGTGTAGATTATGTCTTCTGAACACATAAAAGTTCCCAAGAAAAATCAAGGGTGTGTGGGGGGAAATAAATATATTTGACAAAATTGGTTTAAAGAAATCCTTAAGTAAAACAACTCTTAATTAAGTTAAGAGTACTTACAAAATCCATGAAAATCTCAATATAAAACCAAATAATACTTTTTTTAAATCAATACCAGTCTCTAATTAAGAATTAGTGCGAGTCTCCTCTCTGACAGACACTGTGCTAAGCACTTTGAACATCAGAACAAAGAAAAGGAAGATGACCTATGGGGATTTATTCTTGTGGGAAGGTAAGTATATATAAATCGCAAAAACAAGTTATATCCTGTGGGAGTCAAGCATAACAAATGTAAAGAAGCAGGAATAAAAGGATCACCAAAGCCTTATTTAGCAGTGCTCCTGAGATGCTTTTGACAGGTGCAGAATAAACATAGACTAAATGTTTAGATGGACCAGACAGAAAGTTAGGAAAGTTGAAGTGTCAGTGGGAATTCCAAGAAAGAGACAACAGTCCTTGTAATAAGGTTCAAGTACAGTAGTGACTAGGGGTGAGACTTCAAGTCATGTTCACATAGAACTTGTATCCCCCAGGAGACACAAACTAACATTTAATGCACAGACAGTGACCCAGAGTAAATGTTGATACCCTGGCATTATGCTAACCTGACAATTGCCAGGGTACATCCTGGCGTTATGATGAACATGCCTGGTATTCATACCGGCATTCTTGCAGATACTTAGACAGCTCAAAGGTTTCTACTTTTCGTGGCTACGTGATGCATTAAGTGGCTATGTAAGGACGTGCATGCCTGTGCAACTTTCCCTTTTAGGGGAGAGCCTCCCACCTGTTTGCCCCTCCCATCTATGTTCCAGGTTGACCAACACCTACCCCTCCCTTGCTCGCTTTCCCCAATGGACTCCATGTGGGTGTTGTTGAGTTGTGCAGCTCTTGTTTCACCGCCTGCGGCTGCAGCAAACAACAGCAATACACATTTTAAGCGAATGATGAGCACTGATTTTATTTTTGTCACAATGAAAGACAACTAATGACGCAACATTCTCAAGACTGGGCAAAGTAGGGATAGGTGGGCTTCAGCACATCCTGCTCCGGAAGAATGCAACTTCGCACAGTGTTTCCTATGATAATTTGTGTTAAAAAATTACCCTTAATGTTTTTAACCTTACAATTTCTGTTTTGAAGGTTTATTCCATTAATTATAACGGACAGAAATTTAAATATGTGTAAAGACATTTTTATTACAAAAATATTTAAGACAACAAATTTATAACTAACCTAAATTCGTAAAGTATATCCTAACAAACCAATTAAAAGGAATGCTAGGCAGCCACTAGGCATGGGAACCATATATGACAAGAGAAAAACAGAGGAGATCCTTGTCCTTTATCTTGTCCCTATGGAATTATTACTCTTAACTAGCTATGTGACCATGTGCAGCAGACATTTTGGTTCTTACCTCCATTGCATATAAGATCTGCTTTGTGAGTAAATCCTGATTATTAGTTTATAAGTGTAAGTGGTTCTTATACTATTAAAAGGTTGTTTCCAGGTGCTCTTTGGTGTCTTCCTATTTCATTTATTTCATAGAGATCATGAGTACAAAATTTGATAAAGTAGAATGAAAGGTGTAAAGACTTGGCACGAAGAAACTAATCTATAGTTTTCATGCAAATTTTAACATGTCAGTTCCCTCCCCCCCAAAGACAACCAATGGGAAATTATCTAGATGTTCTATAAAACATCTAATTGAAAAGACTTAAACATTTAAAAATCCAGGATTCTTTGTATTTTCCTTTCTTCTCACCCACAGCAATACTCGGCTGAGAACTGTGTGCAGGAAGAGAAAAACAAATATTATTAATAATTATGACAAAAAATAACCTATGGATATCCTTCTTTAAGTATCTGAAAAGTTTATAGAAATATAAATACAAAACTCCTCCAGAAGAAAATAAAAAGGGGAATGTTAGTCAGTAAGTCACAATCCCACTGAATCCTCTTAACAACTGTGAGAATGCCTGTAAGATTGTTACCAAAATTACTCAGAGGAGCATACAAAATCTGAGTAATGAAGGAGAGTAGGGAAAACACGATTAATGAAGATACTCAGACCAAAACCATTGACAGCATGGCAAGACGCTCACCACGGAGAGGTAAGCCACTATATACAATGGAAATGGCTTCTGCAGTGAGCAATCGTCCACATGCTAGGCAATCTGGGAGAAGCCTGACATGCACACATCAACCTGTGGAGGAAGGTGTTAGTATAAACATTTCACACTTAGAAACTGGTGTCAGAGAAACCAAGTGATTAATTAATAGTGCGACAGTGAATTCCACATCTTTTCAATACTATTAAGTGTATATTAGTACTAGAGGAGTCATTTTCTATCTATTGGTAACATCCTGTATTGGAAATACATGTGGTTTATTATTTTATTGTGGTATTAATATACACATGCCCATGATGGGTTGTGTGTGCTTGACAGGTATTATGAAAATAAAAGCTGTGAGAAACATTGCTTTGCCATTATGAAAGGTTATAACAACACAATAACAGGCAAAATTGAATAAAAGTGAAGTCTTTTATGAACATATTTTTTTTCAAAAGTTTTGGCAGTGATTATTTACTATTTTTAAATATCTGACTTGTACATTTGTTTTGTAATGAGCATGATTTACTCTTATAAAATGAGAAACCTGCAGAGTATCTCCAGATTCATTTGTTCACCAGTCCACTTGTGATTGTATTTTTAGTCCTGATGTTGTGGAAAGTCAACAGATTGCAAGGTTAGTTCTGAAATTCTTGGTGGGAAATGGGTCTCTTAAAAGAGCAACTTGAAATGGTAGAGAGGAGCATGCATACACCTTTATTGTACTAGATTTAAGATATAGCTAGAATGGTCTTTGAAGTTAGAAATATACTGACAAAAAGAATGTAGACAGTGTTTAACACTCCCAGGGGGTGGAGTTCAAGGCTTAGTAGACACTCATTACCTCAGCACAGATCTGACAAAGCCCTGTCAGTCTACATGGTGACTCAACTGTCCTCATCATGAACAAAAAGCATATGGCTCATCAAACAGGCTTCTTCATAAGAGACAATTCATGGACATGGCCTCCAATTACAAAATTCTTTACATGCATCAAACCCAAATATTTTTCCTCACTGATTGAGTTCCAGAGAGAAAATGTTAATTCTCAGTGCGTTTCCACTTGACTACCAGAAGACTAATAATTTCTTACTCAATAATTTACTATAGCTGTATAAAAGCAAATAAAACCAAGGTTTTACCCCAGCTTCATTAAAGAAAAGCTTCAGTGATAGGAAGCTGGGGTGTCATCACCATTTCCCATCCTATGCAGATTTTTCTCTACCAACGGTAAATGGGTTTCCAAATCCACTCCACGTATACATGTACCTGCATGTGTATCACCTGTGTTAATTCCCAGGGAAGAGGTAGAAATATCGTGTCATGGATACTCTCTCAATGGTGGGCATCTGGGTGAGTTCACCTGGATCCTCAAATGAATGTTGAACCTGCAGTGATGAAGAAAGTCCTTAATGATCTCCTAAGAAGGGCTATTCTCTTGCTGCTATTAACAGCAAAAGGTGTAAAAAAAAAAAATCTCACCCTGTATGTTAGGGCTGTGGCTGAGTAATGTAACTGAAGGATGGTTTAGCTTTTTCTTAGATACTGTGCTGACAGAATGACTTAGTAAGTTATGAAAAGTGAGGAAGCAAGTGTACAAATCAAAGGGCTTTGGAAAAACAAAAAATGCTATTATATGGTATTCTAGAAAATTGTTCTGCAAATAAATTACAATAATTTATTTAAATGAATTCAAATGTTTATTTAAATAAAATTTAAGTAAATTTAAATAACAAGCAGCCATTTATCGATCTTTGCATATGGCTCTTCACAGGTTTTAAGGACATAAAAGATTAAAACCAATTCCCTACCTTTCTAAAAATTTCCTCCAAATGATAACACCAACAATACTTTTTGAAGCAGTCGATGAGTTTAGAAATGAAGAGCGAGCCACTCTTGCTTACCTTCCAAGAAATATTATCTGCAAATGAAAGCATGGAGATGGTGAAAGAGGAAGTGCAGAAGACCCCTGCCAAAACAGTTTAGGAACCAAGTACTATTGGATTCTTCACAGAGGACAGCAGTCCAAAGCTGAGGAAAGCTTCACAGAAGACAGCAGTCCAAAACTGAGGAAAGCTTCACAGAAGACAGCAGTCCAAAGATGAGGAAAGCTGAGAACTTAGGCTTCCATAAAGGCAAAGAGGAGAGCTTCACAGACCCTTGTCATAAAACCACACAGGTTTTTTAATAGGCAAGGGAAATGTTACAGCCTCCTGCATGCAAGTCCTGTGAAGGAGAAGAGTCCTTCCAGCACCAACTTCAGGTGGAGAACACACTTGGAGAGTCTACTGAGGTCTCTCAGCTCACATATGGCCATGGATTAGCAGCAGATGCATCACCATATTTTATTAGAAAGGTTGCCGACATCAGCATATCAACATCTCCATATGATTCCTACATATATTAGACCTTATAATCACAGAACATGAGTGTAAGGAAGCATGATTTGTACAAACTTGTTATCTCAAGATGCCTTGCTCTCTAAATCCTTGGTAGAACCCTGTTGTAGATAACTATATAAAAATGTTGTAGGGCTACTCTGAAAGTCAGTCAGCTACTGGGAATGTTCTGTTTTTTGACTGTATGTTACCTTTATTACACTTTCCCTGTCACAGAGAGGTCATTGATCATATGTTGATTATATTAATGTGAAGTTAATTTCAGAGTTAACTCATTCCCCAAAATTAGATTAAAATAATAGGCTAAGAGTTACTATAGTATGTGTTGTGGACCTAGCAGTTTTTACTGGTTGAGTTTTGGGAAATCACAGAGAATGTTTTATATTGATGTGTCACTGATAGATTTTAAAAATAAGTCAAAGTGATCTATCATTCCATTTTTATAGCCAAAATATCTGAATTTTGGATTTCCCCAAAACAACATGTTAACATTAAAAGTCTCTAAGCAAATATAATTATGAAAATCCAAATACCTTAAATCTCCCCACTAGTGAAAACATCCTAATAATTAGACATGGAATTTTCAACAAAAGTATATTAACTCAGTCAAGCATGTTGTATAAAAATACTGCTAACAGATCCAGAACATCTGGAGTCACTTACGTGGGGTAGAAGATTTGAAAGCAATGAAATCCTTCTCCACATGGGCCTTTGCCACACTGCTTCTCCATTTACAGCTCAGCACAAGCTCCTCATCTGTATCAGCAGTGGCTATCCCTTTGCTTGTGGATACCCAAACAATTCCATTATGTTCTAGGAGAGAATGAACTACTTCAACAAAAGTAACAGTGTGTGTGTGTGTGTGTGTGTGTGTGTGCACACACAGACAAACACACACACACACTTCACAGAGATAAAGCATATCTACTGCTAGTATATTCTCATTTGGCACATTGTGTTGGCACATTTTATTGAAATGTGTGTGGGGTGCATGTACATATATGCATGCAAGTTATCCATGTCAATGTGCATACTCAGAGGCCAAAAAGAATTATATCAGTTGTTTTGCTCTATCACTTTTCATCTTATTCTCTTGGCAGGATTTCACATTGGACTTGGAGCCAAACTGGTACCTAACAACCATCAGTTATCTGCCTGTCTCTACCTTCTGTGGTCCTTGGGTTATGTGAACACATGCTATGCCTGGCTTTTCACAAAGGTTCTTGGGATTAGTTCTTGCACAGTGAACACTGTCATTGAGTCATCTCCACAGTCCACAAAATATTGAACTATTAGAGAAACTCCCACTCACCAAGACAATACAATATCTACCATGTCAAGAACAACAATATTGACAAATGACTGGGCTATTTCTTATTATTCTAGGCTACTTGTTGTTCCCTTAAAACGTAGGCTATAAGGTCCTTTCTTTTGGGCTGAATGCACCATTAACACTAAAATGTCATCTTCAAGAGCCTGACATGTACATGCCAGACTCAGCAGGAAGTTCAGAACCACACCCTAGAGCCCCACTCAGACTCACTGCCCCTGCAGGCCTGCATGATGAGGATCTTGGGTTTGTTTCTCAGGCTCCTGCAGTTAGAGTTGTTGAAAATTGTGAAGATGGTGTCATCAGGAAGAACGTCTGGCTCTTTGTTCCTGTGCCTCACCCCACAGATTCCTTCCAGGATGCCATGGGACATAAACACCAGGAATGTGCTGTCAGAGGACTGGTGCTCTGGACGGCCAGCAAACTGCATTAATTCTGTCTCCATTTCCTGAAAAGACTCTAGAGTCACTCTCAGTAACAGAGGACATTCACAAAAAAATAAATAACTTTTAGAGTTGGGTGACTTATGCAGAGTAGAGTTGTAAGAGAAATAAAATGTATATTCACAAGATGTGAAAACTAGATTTTCCTGTTTTACATAGTTTGTAGTTTGCATTTCAAGAGAATCTTGGATTTCTAAAGACTTTGAGAGATGGAATATAATCAAAATCAACTCTATTGCAATTAGGTTTTGGAAAACTCTCATTAAAAGAAGGGGTAGACAGAAAAACATATGTTGATAAAAATTAAAAATATGAAATTTCTTAATACCAAAAAATAATCAAGTTCTACATTCTTTAGTCAAATTTACCCAGGTGGCTTTTGTACCCAAAACTACAAAACCTTATATAGCTCTCAATAATTAGATAATTTGTTCTTATATTGTTAAAATTTCATGTGTTTATTCTTGTCCCTCTTAGAACAGCAGGTAATAGAGACAGTCAGATTGACTCTAAAGAAAGACTCCCTTCTTGTTGAAATAATGTTGCACAGGTATTCTGAAAATAGTCTCTTACAATATGTGTTGGAGACAGTAGAAACCCAGGAAATCCTATGCTGGAGCAGATGTAATTCCTGTACTCTGACATATTTGTTCTTGTTGTTACCAAAAGAGAGACTGAAAATAGCTCAGAGAAGGTTGCCCTGTTCTCTAGGGCTATTACCTGAGCTGTAAGGTTTTCCTTTATCACCACTGAGTATCCAAGGTTTTGAAGTAGCTCCTCCATGTTCAAAATATCAACCTCAGCATCTTCTCGATCAAAAAGGTAGTCAAACTTTTTGTTGCAGATGATAAGAGCCAATCGTGTTCGGCCTTCCTTCTCCATCACTGGATATATCTGCAGTTAACAGACACAGAGTGATTTAATCAAGGGCCCTCCTCATGCCTCCAAAATCTTAAAAAAGCTGACAAAAATAGCTATAGTGAAAAGAATGTTGCTGATGGATTTATGCTCCACTGATGACATTATAGGACCTGAGACTTAAAACATATATGTCCTCCATCTGACCTCAAAAAACCTGTTAAAGCACTAGAATGAGTCCATGTTGTCTGCATGGTTTAACACCAGGCCCCTGCTTCTAAAGCTCATCACCTCTTTTGCCTTTTCTGTCTTCATCTTATAGAATTGATCACAAGGACAAAGCTTCAGTGTGTCTTGGGCTTCTGTTCTCTGGATTCCCTCAGGAGCTGAAAGAGAAAATAGAACCAAGCACTGAAACTGGCCCTTGGTCATGCACATTCACTGGGCACATGTTCATTGTTCTGGAGTGCTCAACTGCTGCGTCTCAGAAAACTGTAATGAAAGGAGGACACATTTCATATATAAAATGACTGAAGTAAAACTCTTGATGATTTCCTCCTTTTTCTTTTTGTTTCTCACTAACCCTGCCAATTTTCTGCTTTTCTAGTATTGACAACTTTGTCTAGTCTTTCAGATTCAACATAAAATCATATGAACTCAAGGATACAAACTTTGTAAAGAAGTTTAGTTTCATTTAATTATACAAGAAGTTGTTAATTCCATTTTATACCATTGTATTACCCTTCAGACCATTCCAGTGACAGGAAGTCTATATCAGGCTATGGTGAGTTCATATGATTTTATGTTTCCTTGTTCTATCTCACACTACAAGAGCAAGTACATCATTTCTAAGGACACCGCCTCTTTTTTTTCTCCATTTTTTATTTAAATTAGAAACAAGATTGTTTTACATGTCAATCCCAGTTCCCCCTCCCTCCCCTACCCCTCACTTACACCCTACCTATCCTTTACCATTTCTGCTCCCCAGGGAGGGTGAGGCCTTCCATGCATGAGTTGTCTTCAGAGTCTGTCATATCCTTTGGGATAGGGCCTAGGCCCTCCCTCCTGTGTCTAGGTTGAGGGAGTATCTCTCTATGTAGAATGGGCTCCCAAAGTCCATTACAATGCTAGGGATAAGTACTGATCCACTACAAGAAGCCCCATAGATTTCTGAGGCCTCCTTACTGACACCGATGTTCATGGGGTCTAGGTCAGTTCCATGCTGGTTTCCCAACTATCAGTCTGGTGAACAAGAGCTCCCCCTTGTTCAGGTCAGCTGTTTCTGTGGGTTTCAAAAACCTGGTCTGGACCCCTTTGCTCATCATTCCTCCTTCTCTGCAACTGGAGTTCAGTTCAGTTCAGTTTTTAGCTGTGGGTGTCTGTTTCTACTTCCATCAGCTGCTGGATGAAGGCTATAGGATGGTATATAAGTTAGTTGTCAATATCGTTATCAAGGGAGGCATTTAAGGTAGCCTCTCCAATGTTGCTTGGATTGTTAGTTGGTGTCATCCTTGTAGATCTCTGGACATTTCCCTAGTGCCTGATTTCTCTTTAAACCTATAATGGCTCCCTCTATTATGGTATCTCTTATTTTGTTCTCTATTCTGAGAAGGGGAAAGGGACAAGATCTCCTGAGCAATTTGGGAGCATGGGGGGAGGGGAGAGGGAGCTAGGAGAATGAGAAGGGGAGAAGGGAAGGGTTGAAGAGGACACTGCCTCATTTTATGATTTGAATTCCACACCTTCTCACTCCCCAACAAGAATTTTACTGGGGTATTTGTTTAGCATTTTGTCTTTCCCTTCTCCCCACTCCTGGCGCCTCTCTCTTCTTGCTCTTTCTAAATGTGTTTGGCTCTAACAACAAATGTTAATTTTAACACAGAGAGAGATATGAATGGGAAATTTAAAGTATGATAGGGAGTGAATATATTGAAAGATGTTAAAATAGAATACAAAATAAAAGAAAGGTATAAAGGGGGAAGGGCCACTATGGAATAGAATGGGAAGGAAAGAAAGGACAAATCTTTAGCTGGTCATCTTTTTTACATTCTCGCAAGAAGAGATAATCATATTCTCAGTGAGAGAAATCTATTCATTATGTCTCATTTTTATTTTTGGCTGATTCATGATATAAAAGCTCGGATGAAACAAACAGCTTACACACAAAGTATTTGATAATATTCACAAATGCTTGAAACACATTTCAGCGATGGGTGTCAACTTCCAAGGATGACTGGGATGAGCAGTGGGTCTACAATTTGACTGAATTTTTCATGAATGACAACTCCTAATGAAAGCAACAACAACAACAACAACAACACACACACACACACACACACACACACACACACACACACACACACACACACACCAGACTCCTTTTGCTGAAAACATTGGCCTGGCAGTGGACCTCTGACCTCTGAACCTCCAGCTTTACTTACTTCACTCCTAGTCTCCCACTTCACCATCAGATCACAGCCTTCCATGTGGCCCTGTGACATGACAATATCATTCTTGTCTCAGGGCTTCTACCCCGGCTTCCTGTTTTGCTCAAATATTTTACATAATTCCCTTAGAAGCTTTAAGTCACATGCTACCATATCTTCTCAGTGTGTCTGGGGGAGTTGCCTAAACATGTGAGTGCACATCCTACTTACATGAGTATTGTATATCACCACTCACTAAATTATAAATGCAATGGGAAGGAAAACAATCTATTTTTATTACTGCTATACAAACCAAATATTGACATCAGTAATTTGATATTTCACTTAGTATAAGGCATAAGCATACAAACATGAAAAAACCAAAGGCTTTATTCCATAGTTTGTCAAGAACTCCTTAAGATAAAGCAGCCACACAAAACTATCACTCCTCCTTCTATACAAGTGTAATTCCTCAATAAACCCCAATGGTTCATCAGTTTGGTGAACACAAGGAATGTGTGACTCATACCATTTTAGATTAGCATATATATATAATTATATAAATTATAAAACACAGTAAACTCACATACTTAACCAATCTTTGTGCTAATAGTTTCTGAAATCTTAAGTGTTTTATAAATGTAAGATTATTATTAACATCATTTAAAAACATGAGCCATGAGGACACATGTCAGTGATAGTGACAGCTTTGCTATACAACCTTCTTGGCTGCTATCCTAATCCTGTAACCAATAAAGGCTTTTAAATCCACTTTCTCACAAATAGCATATGCACACAACTTGGGATTAATATTTACCTGTCAGTATTGGGTTTGATGCATGGGCCACTCCAGCATCTTGTACCAGTTCTTCATCTTCCTTTTCTCTTTTGGTTTCTGAAGAGAAGTGGAGAACAAGGATTTGAGGGACTTTCTAGTGGTGGAGGTGTAGAAACCCAAACATTCCAAGCAAGGATCAGTGGAAAGGTATCTGCTGTAACACAGGGAACCTGTAACCCCACCCTGCAGTGACAAGCAAGATCCCATGAAGCAAAAGATTTTGAGCATTTACCCATCAGAGAGAAAATGAGTGTCTGCTCTGATAAAGTTTGTTTTTCATCTTTGCTGTCTTTAATTCTGTTTTCAGACTCTGGAGAAAAGAGAAATATCAGTGCTCTTTGGTACAATGACATTGTATATATGGTTATGCAATACATTTTGACCATGCCTATCTACCACTATTGTGAGACCAAAATAGGAAAATATATTTTGCAAGTTAAGGCTTCTATTTGCAGTTAAGGTAGTTAAGGAATAAGTTAAGATTTCTGTTTGTAACTAATAATTGCTTCCTCTTTCTTAGATCTGATGTAAGCTGCAAAATATGTTTCTCAACCTACACTAACCCTGAAACTCCATTCATCTGATGTATATCCTTACTGTTGTTCCTTCCCTTTCCTTGTATCTTTTTATTTTTTATTTTTTAAACAACCCTTTTTTATTTTACATGCCAATCCCAGTTCCCCCTCCTCTCCTCCCACTCCATCTACTTTCCCCCTTCCTCTGTTCCACTCCCATCTACTCCTCATACAGGGGCCTCTCATAGGGAGTCAACAAAGTCTGTCATGATCCCCTGAGGCAGGACCAAGGCACTCCCCACTGTATCTAGGCTGAGTAAAGTATCCCTCCATAGGGAATGGGCTCCAAAATGCCAGTTCACGCACCTGAGATAAATCCTGACCTCACTGTAGTGGCCCAATAAACAGTCACCCTCTTTTAGAAGGCCTCTTTTCATTTTATGCAGGTTCCCCATATAACAACCTACTATCTCACCACCTATCTCTACTATAAAAGGATCACAAGAGACCAACAGTGGATGTTCTCTCAAATCTTGACTTAGGGTGAGACAGCCACTGGCCATTCCTGGGTATACCCCAAAATACAGCTTGCTTTTATTGGACAGTAGTGGATTTGGTCTTTTCCCATTGAGATTCTCAGGTTTAATCTCTTTTTCACACTGCTCATTTCCCCATTCCTTACCCCTCCATAGTCATGCCCTTGTTTTACTTTTTTATATTGTGTTATTATTAACCCCCCAATACAAATAATGTGCCACTTTGCAACTGGGTGTATGACCATCCACTAGACATGAACAACCATTGGCCATGTCTCTAGTGTGAAGTGGCTGTCCCTCCCTCAGCAGTTATCTACTGTTGTCATTTCTAAGAATGAAAATGTATAAGGCCAGAGTTCCCCGTATCTTTACTGGGATATGAAAATTGAGATCAAATGGTTTATGTGGTGCTCGGGGGCATGGGAACACTTACCTGATTGAGAAGATGATGTAGATATTTTCTGAGATTCATCATCTTCATCATCAGAATGAAATTCTGAAACAATATAAACAGTAGAGTAAATATCTGGGCCCTTTCACAGCACTGGTAAATAAACCACGATGCTGCTCTCTGAAACAATCTATTCCCAAGCTTCACATTTGCTTATACGCTCTCTAGCCTCTTCCAAAGAAAACGAGGAGGCACTTCTTCCATGAAGCAAGAACTTTTCTCTTCTGTGAGTATTATATAAATACAGATTTTGCCAAAATCTATAACCAGAATTTCCTTATAATAGAATTTATTTTTCAAAAAATAGATAGCCTACATAAAACAAAAATAACACAGAAGAAAATGTCAAGAATTTAAGACACACACTTTCTGTATCACTTGCTGGAGTAGGGTTTGTGGACCTGCAGACCAAGCACCACTTGCCCCCCGTGCTAAGGGCTTAATGGAGAACATAAACACCCACTGCTCTTCAGAGATTGATGTTGTCTTGCAAAAACAGAAAACCTGAGGTATGAAGGAGACAATTCATAATATTTACTGTTTTTAAAGATAAATTACTATTTCACTAATCTTCAAATTCAGGGTTTTTTGTTTGTCTTATTTATTTCCCAGTAAAAAATAAGGTGAAGCTTTCTTCTCTGAAATTAAGCCACAGCTAAGAGAAGAGTGGGGACTTCTCCAGTCCCCCATTCAAGAGTCTTTAAGAATAAGTCTAAATCTCTGTATGTGACCAGAGGTTTAGACCACTGTAAATGCTGTCTCTGAATTCAACATAACTTAATGTTTTCTGATCACTTGCCTCTTACATAATCAAGATGTATTCATGAATAAAGCAGCCAAAGAGACCTGCCTTATTCGGACCATGCTTTGGAGAGTGAAGCACAATAACAGAATAAATATGTAAATTCCTTGGGGTAACTGATGGTGTAACTGTTAAGCCAATAATCAAATATGCAGGAGTACAAAAGTAGTTGGGGTGAAATGGAGCTTTGTTAATATGTTAAAAAAAATTGACAAGCAACAGCCTGGGAGATGTGCATAGGTTAGACTTCCTTGAAAACAGTAGAAATAAAGACAAAAGCTCATGGGCAACAGAAAAAGAGTGAATTGATGGCACTTTGGCCAGAACTACTCACTTAAACTCAGTTGCTTCTTGGAATTGACAATGTGGCCTGAAAATATTTTGCTTGCCATTTCTGTTTTCTCAAAGATATTCTCAACCAGGTTTTCAGCGTTATTCAGAAGGAAGCTCGCACCTTCCCCTAGTCTGAGTAACTCATTTCCATTTATCACATTCTTCTCCACCAAGTCATCAAAAACCCCATCCAGCATGTCCTTGGCCAAACCCTTGATCTTGTAGATTGGATCTCTTTCATATGTCTTCTTGCCTGTGAAAATTATAGTGTTTAAGCATGGAAAGAAATTTAGATATCTGTTCCTACAGTAGCTGCTTTCAGATCGTAAGACACACAAGAATCGCCTACATAGCTAAATAAACAGGACTCCCTGAATAGAATTCTTGGAAATTCTGCTTAATACATGAAGATGAGACCCATGTGTTTTTTTTAATTATTTATTTTATTTTTTGAGATGCCGGAGTGACGTGTCTTTGCCTAAGAAACAACACGGCATCTATCTTGTTCAACACTCTTCAAGTTCATACAGGAGGAAACTGAGGCTGCTAGAAGAGAAACCTTCTATTAAGCAATTTGGCAATAGATATCTGATATCTGACATTTCTGTCTATCACTCACAGTCCTTCCACTTTTGTTCTTGTTTCTTAATAACTTCAAATGACATTATATTTCATATATGGCATAGAGAACTATGAAAACACAACAGCTAGAGTGTTACTCATTCTATTTATATTGCCAGGACTGTGTGGAAATGGAGAAATCAAACTAGCTGGCTTACTTGCTTCTGAGAGCACTTCTGAGGACGACCAGAATGATGGAGAACATGCAAGTTGTTGTTCAATAGTACAGCTTCTCGCCCTCACAACAATACACCCACAGAGCTGGGGAGAGCCTCACATCAGGGAATCAAAAGGCAAGCCTTAACCCACAGGAAAATACTGAAATAATGGGTCTGGGTGCATTATATCTTCCTCTTTTGTCAGCAGTCGTAAACTACTAAATTGGGGCCTTTGAGTGTTTGCGTGCTCCTGCTTCATTCTGGGATGTCAAAACCTCTCCATTGCCAGACTAAAATAACTCTGTTCCTACAAAGTCCCTCCACACTGTTATTTCTTCTCTCCGAAACCCATATGTAACTCCCTCAATACAATAAACAAAGAAAGGACTCACCCGCCATGGCTGTGCAGCCTTCCTGCCCACAAAAAGCAATGAAAGTGAAAGCAGTCTCGGAACCAGTGTGCCTTTCCTTTCCAGAGACTTATGGATGGTGCTGTCTCACCGGGAAACTCCAGCCTGGTAAATTCTCTTGCTCTTTGTCCAGAAAGTGAACCCGGGAACTTCTTTGATATGCAATGCTTTTCCTTGACACAATAAAGTTTTCTGACGGAAAATGTATATTCACGCACAAATACATTCTGAGTCCAGTCTGTGTTTTAGCACAATTTCAAAATGCAATGTGACCTCTGTTTTTCTCAGTACCTCCGTGGGCCTTTCCATAGATTAAACCACACAGCAGTGGCACTTCTCAGCACGGAATATGTCGACCTGGAGGCCTCACAGGAAAGAGGTGCTGGGATCTGTCAAACCCTGATGCTGATGCCACCAACTCCAACCCAGGAAAGTAATCTTGGTTCTTCTCTCTGAGTCAGCATGTTTGTTTGTCAATTTTGGATATTCCTTATCTGGAGATACAAGCTTACATTGTGGGTTGTAAAATGTAAAAGAGAGTCTTTCACTCTAGCTTTCAAAAATTTATAGATAAATGATGGCACTAAAAGTTAAATAATGGGAATATTTATAAAATAGAAAAGAATGATACACAGCTGCTTTACTTTCATGATTCAGTGGGCTACGTGCTAGCTGCCTTCCTTGTGAATTTTTTCCTGTTTCTTATAAAATGCTCAATACAATTCTAATGGTGATGACTACTTACAGCATCCTTCTTGTAGCAGCCTCCCTTGCTCTATTGACCTCAGGAATTGATTGGTGTGGCTAACACATCACCCTCAAAGAAGTATGTGCAGTTTCAGATCCTGCTTTCACAAAACCCTGTGCGCTTTAACATCTTGGATATGTGAGCACCCATGCAGATTACCTGGTGACTCAAGGTAAAAGATACCCTTATATTTCCACTTGGCTCCTTATTGGTAATTTCCCACTATAAGAGCTTGCACATTTCTTGGGAGAGCAGGAAGCAGAGAAAGGAGAAGACAGATGTTCAGTTGGAATTCTCCTTTTCTCTGTTTTAACCACTTCAGGACCTCTGAATAAAAGGAACCACATTCATGCCAGCTCTGCCTCGTGTTCCACAGTCAGTCCTCTCCAGGAACTCCCTGTCAATCATTCCTGCCTTAAGGATGGCACAAGCCTTTCTTAATCCAATCAAACAAGCTACCACAGTGCCAGTGTCATATAATCATATCAGAAATCAATTAACTTGTTCTTTAAAACTTTATGATGAATAGCATATATTCTGGTAAATTGAAATCAAGTTTGGTAGACTATAACTTCAAAATGTTTGTCAAACTAATACATCCAAAATTCAACAAATAGCATAGTATAGAAAAGCTTAGAATGAAAATGAGATCTTCCAATATGCCTCAGTTCTGTATTCTAGACACTACTTCTCTAAGCTATTTATCTTTTGAATAGTATAATCATTTCTTAAATTATTTTGATGGACAGTTTTATACAGAATGAATTGTTTTGCTATTCAGCTATTTTTTACCCCCTGCTCCCTGCTCTTATCCCCCTTTCTCTCCTGCTGGAGCCTTTCTCAATAAGTCCCCTCCTGTCATGTCCCCTTTCTATAAGTAACCCAGTGTGTTTTATTACTTTGTTTCTTCATCACAGGTGGGAGATTATTGAATGGAAGTTCAGCAGTGGCCACACCACTGAAGAAGTTGACAACCCCTCTTCAAAGGACTGCAGCTGCCAATAGTCCTTCAGGGAGGACCTCTCCTCTACCCATGATAAAAAGTTAATGGGTCCAAACATGAGCCTGAAATGTAAGATAGCTACAGGTGCAGTGAGTTCATGTATGATAGTCACAAGCACAGTGAGTTAATGTAAAATAGTCAGAACCAGAGTGAGTTCGTGAAGCATAGTTGTACCACAGTGAGTTCATGTAAGATAGCCACAGCCGTGGAGCAGCGTTTGTCATATGGAAAACACCGTTTTGTTGCACATCTATCCATTCTCCAAATGCATGAGAATGTCTATTTCATATATTTCATGCCATTGAATGCTTCATATAAAAATGAACTGTAACTAGCTTAAACTGCTTCCTTTCCTGTTGGCGAATACCAAGGCTTTCAGTTATTTTATATACCAAGTATCATGAATTAGTTAATTAACTTTTTGAGACAAGGTTCATAACTCCAATGTGGTTGTTTGAAAGAAAATACCCCCCAATAGGGAGTGTCACTATTAGGAGATGTGACCTGGTTCGAGTAGGTATGGCCTTGTGGGGCTGAGCTTTGAGGTCTCCAATGCTTAAGCTATACATAGTGTTACACTCCATTTCCTCTTGCTTGTGGATCAAGATGTAGAACTCTCAACTTTTCTTCAGCATCATGTCTGTTTGCATGTCTCCATGTTCCGCCATGATGATAATGGACTAAAGCTCTGAAACTGTAAGCTACTAAGTAAATTTTTCCTTTATAAATGTTGCCATGGTCACAGAGTCTCTTCCTAACAGTAGAAACTGTAAGACACCCAGGATGACTGAAAACCCTTGATTCTTCTGCCTTAGCCTCATGAGTGCTGAAGTTGGAGGACTATACCATCATATTGACATGAAAAACACATTTAACCCTCATTTATATTTCACCAGCATTAATAACTGGCTCCACTCTCTTCTGTGTAAGTTAAATGAGCTCTATTCTCCCATTTCCCTCTAATCATACTTTGTTTTGATAGTCATTTTTTATTTTGGCAAAATTTCAATTATAAGAAACTGGCCATCTTAAGCCCCTTTCATACTTCAATCAGTATCACACACAATCATGAGACTGCACAACTGTTATTAGCAATTGCTGTTTGCTATAGTGTCAGCATGTCCTGTAAATGAACATGCACTGGAATCATTCATTGTTTAAGCACAGTGCTGGGCTTTATAAACACAAACTATTACAAGGTAGGCTCAACAATTAGTCACTGTGGCATCCCCTCTTGAAGGTGTTGATGTTGGTCTGATTTGATAAAAACAAGTGTGCCTTAGTACTTGATCCATTGCAAGTTCAGATAGTTCCCTTCCAGTTTTCCTTCCATGTTGTGACATAGCTAAGTTGTCTACCAGAACCATGAGGCAAAGGTATCTCTTTATTTTATAAAGACCCACTGTCAAGTTTCCATCGTATTATTGCAAATTAAAAAGAAAAGAAACTAATATACTGCCCTGTTCCTCCTTCTCTAGCCTCTGCCACTGCCATTGTACTGTCTGTCTAAGAATCGGATTACTCTAGGAACACAGTGCAATGACACACTCTTTCTCATTGCAACTCAATTATTTCATCTGGTATCATGTTCAGAGTAGCCACCCATGTTGTAGTATGCTGCACAACCCTCTTGGGTTTAAATCTGAATGACATTCACATTTGCACATATACTGTAGTGCTCTTTCACTCTGATGATCATTCACTACTCAGTTTGTTGCTATTATTTAAGTATTGTGGCTAGTACTGCCATGGATAATACTAAAATATGTCTTTCGTGTGCTCTTTTTAATTATTTTGTTTCAATACAGATACTGGACCCTGAAATGAATAGACACCATATTGTGTGTCAGATTGTCAGATTGGCTATAAAACATCACACCCTAGCCAACGGTGCAGCAAGATTCTGATTACAGCACTTCCTTGCTTATAAATGTTTAATATAAGATTTTTGAATATGTGTGTGTGTGTGTGTGAGAGAGAGAGAGAGAGAGAGAGAGAGAGAGAGAGAGAGAGAGAGAGAGAGAGAGACAGACAGACAGACAGACAGACAGACAGACAGACAAAGATAACCACCCACCATGGAAGTTAGAAGACAACTTGTTGAAGGATTCACTTCTCTCCTTCTGTCATGTGGGACCCAAGGATCAGACTCATTTCCTAAGCCTTGCCAAGAAAAGGGTTTACACATTGGGCCATCTCAACAGCCTGTGTGATAACATTTTTGTAATTGTCATCTTAATGGTGCAGGGGATATCATTTATATTATCTACTTGTGAGGAATTTCCTCAACAAAAGCAACTGAAGGAAGAAAGGGTTGGCTGTGGCTTAGTTTGAAGGTACAATCCGTCATGATAGGTATTGATGTGCCAGGAACTTAGAGCAGCTGGTCACTTTGTGCGCATGCTTGAGAAGAGAACAATGAGTTCCTGTGCTCAACGTGTTTCCAGGACTCAGGCTTAGGGTGTGGTGCTCCTCTATTTAAGGCTAGGCTTTCCTACCTTAACTTACCTAATCAACATAATTCTTCACCCATATGGTCAGAGATTTGTCTCCAACATGTGTCTAGATTCTGTAAAGTTGACTATTAAAGCCAACCAGCACAGGCACCGTTTTCTTCATACTGTGAGAACTAAGTTCCCTGATTCTCTTTTCCAGTACTATGGGCATCATAGCCACAGCATTAGACACTACTGTTAGCTTCTCTCCAACATTATTAGTTTAATTTAAATATCATTCTCCATTAAAGAAACCAATAGACATAGTATTTGCCTTATTTTATTTACACACATAGTTAAATATATATAAACCTTATATAAAAATCCCTCAACTAACCAGGCAAATTCTTGCAATGCAACATTTGATGGACTTCCCTATTAGTTCTGTTAATTTCTGGGAACTAAGCAGATTCTAAGGTTTTTTCTCCTAGATACAAAGCCCGTGTACAATTTCTCTGCCAGCACCTTTGCAGCTGGTGGGCTGGAAACTCAAAATTCCATCAGGGAGCTCACCACCTCTGCAGGCCTGAACAGTGATGACCTTGGGTTCATCTCTTGGTCCTGTACAGTAGAGATTGTTGAATATCTAATAGAGATGGGAGGTAATGATGCACACCTTTAATCCCAGCACTTTGGAGGCAAAGACAGGCAGATTTCAGTGAGTTCAAGGCTAGCTTGGTCTACAAAGTGCCAGGAGAGGCTCCAAAGCTACACAGAGAAATCCTGTCTCAAAAACCCAAAAACAGTAACAACAAAAGAATATCTAATAAATGGTGTCATAATGTAGCACATCTGTTTTTTTTTTTTTTTTTTTTCCTGTGCATCATTTCACAGATGCCATTCTACGTGCCATGAGATAGAAGCTCCAGGAATGTACTATCTGATTTCTTGTGCTCTGGGAGGGCAGCAAAATCCTTCATCTCTGATTCCATACCCTGAAAAAGATCCATGTTCTCCTTTAGTAGGTTGAGGGTTAAGATAAATTTCACTTCCTTATTTCAACAAAATTGACTTTGTCAACATACATAGTGTTTGTTACTTTACTTGGTGGAGACTCGTTAGTTATACTTGATTTGCTTTTTGTTCTTAGAGGATAGTGACTTCCATCATCCCATGCCTGGTTTCAGACTGTGAACAGTCTTGGTGACACTCATAGTCATGTCTCTTGAATTACTTTTTGTTTTCCACATAGGTGTTTTCTCTTTGTTCATAGGCACTGGCATGTTTTATTAGTGCTGCAATGTCCTTAGAATCCTTCCTATGTGCTTAGAGAAAAACTAAACTTAGGCCTTCATTGTCTTTCTATTTCTAATCTCCTATTTCCGCCACACCCTAGTCTTCCTTAGCTTCACTCTTAGCTTTCTTGTATATAATGTCTACTTGTGTACTTTAGATGTAGCCTATGCAGCTCTTTATACTTGGAAGTCACCCCTCTCACATCTTTGTGGAGCCTTCTTGCTCCTAGGAGATATGTTTCAGCTTCTTTATTATCTTCACTAAGGTTTTCTAGAATGTCTCATCATTTACTGCTCCCCACTATCCAGAACTCTCTCCTTTCTTACCTTTCAGTTTGGGTTTGCATGCATTTGGCTTCAATTATGTAAATAAACACATATTTGTATCCTTAGCTATATTTTTTCTGTTTGCTTACCATCCTCTGTGCTATATCATATTAATGTACAATGTAGATTTCCTGTCTCCTATTCCACGTTTACTACTCTATGTTATGGCACTGAATCTTAATTTCTCCACTGTGGAATTAAGAAAATTATATGAACCCACACCAGCCACATAGAATCTAGAGCCTTCATCCAGTGGTTGATGGAAACAGACACAGACAACCACAGCTAAACACTGAACTGAACTCCTGGAACCCAGTTGCAGAGAGGGAGAAGTCATGAGCAAAGAGGTCAAGACCAGGCTGGTGAAACCCACAGAAACAGCTCAGGGACCCCAGACTGATGGCTGAGAGGCCAGACACCCTGAACATGGGTGTCAGTGAAGAGGCCTTGGCAATCTATGAGGCCTCATGAACTAGATCAGTATTTATAGGTGACAAAGGAATGGACTTTGGGAGCCCATTCCACATGGAGGGATGCTCTCTCAGAATGGACACATGGGGGAGGACCTAGGCCCTGCCTAGGATGATATAACAGACTTTGGAGATCCCCCATGGATGGGAGTGGGGTGGGGGCTTGAGGAGGTTGGTGGAGGCCAGGGGAAGAGGGCAGGGAGAGGGAGCTATGATTGACATGTGAAGCAAGCTTGTTACTAATTTAAAAATTTAATTAAAGAAGCATTTTCTGATTAAAAAGTGCCATCTACTGAGAGGCAAGGGTTCAAACAAATGAGCATGTTGGTTTTCCATCAGCTTGGCCACTAAACAGAATGCACTGATATTTTAACTACCATCTGGGGCCCTGTAGCCCTAAGATAAGTGTGCCACCACTCAGGCCATAGCTTAGCACCACTGGCTCTGCTACTGCTGCCAAATGTAGTTTTAAACCAAATCTCTATCATTTTATTTGCTAATAAATACTCAGGAATCAAAAAAAGAGACATAATTCAACTATTTTGATCTCTCTATCTCTCCCCCGACTCTCTCTCATACACACACACACACACACACACACACACACACACACACACACACACACACACACACACACATCTGCACCTGCTTCTATCCAAAGGTTGGTAGAGGGTTTTGCATTTGCTTAACATTATAATGGTCATTTGTGAACAAAACATGTCATTCACTGTATATGAGGTTGTAGTGGCTCTTACTTATCCATAAGGGCTTCTTTCCTCACCATAGTATAGCCCAGGTCTTCAAGAAGGTCTTTAATGGCAATTATGTCAAAGTTAGCCCCATATCTCAGAGAGAGAGTTATGTCTGAATTCTGTACTGAATATGTTAAGAACCTTTTAAGTGTGAACTTTGGTTTCTTTTATTGGGTAAATCTGTAGAAAATGGACATATAGTGAATTTGTTTTACTTGCGCTTTTGAAGACCTATCTGTCCATCATAAACATTGCCTTATTAAGGTCTCAGATAACTTCCTTCTCAGTCAACCTCCAACCCAAAAGATACTGCCTCTGTTCTTCTCAAGGGCTCAAGCCATAAAAAGAATCTAGCTAGGGTAGTTACACAAAAGTCTTTAGAAAACCAGGAAAATTACTACTCTTTTCTTTTTTGTACCTAGTTAAATTTCCCTAGAATTCAAGGTTTAGGTCAGATCTAAAATATAAAGATATTATCAGCTAAATTAAACAAGTAGTAAAACAAAGGGCATTTAGTAATATTGTGGTACAATTTTTAGTATATCAACCTCACTCTTTGTATGCTTTAATAATAAAACATCTTCAGTGTGTGTGTGCTTTTAAACTAAACTACAGATAATTACTACTCATCTGTGTTGTTTAATAAATATTTTGATTCCATTACT